CCACGAGGTTAGTTAAGTGTTACTACCAATCTATCACAGATATATTACCACGAGGTTAGTTAAGTGTTACTACCAATCTATCACAGATATATTACATGATGTTAGTTAAGTATTACTACCAATCTATCATACATGTATTAGCATACAAACGATGATGCACATATGTATACTGGACATTGTACATATAACACAACTGACTAAGGAGTCTAGAATTCTCAATTTTCGACACCAAATCACCTAATGAATCAGTCACTCATCATTTTCGTTAGTTGTGTCTTACAAATTTATATTTTCTGTACATTAATGAGCAATGGTATATTTTTTACAGTATATAAACGAGGGATGGTGTACATATTCACAGTATATAAACGAGAGATGGTATACATTTTCACTGTATATAAACGAGGAATGGTATACATTTTCACTGTATATAAACGGGGGATGGTATACATTTTTACTGTATATAAATTGGGGATGGTATACATTTTCACTGTATATAAAAGAGGGATGGTATATATTTTCACTGTATATAAACGAGGAATGGTATACATTTTCACTGTATATAAACGGGGGATGGTATACATTTTTACTGTATATAAACGAGGGATTGTATACATTTTCACTGTATATAAACGAGGGATGGTATACATTTTCACTGTATATAAACGAGGGATGGTATACATTTTCACTGTATATAAACGAGAGATGGTATACATTTTCACTGTATATAAACGAGGGATGGTATACATTTTCACTGTATATAAACGAGGGATGGTATACATTTTCACTGTATATAAACGGGGGATGGTATACATTTTCACTGTATATAAACGGGGGATGGTATACATTTTCACTGTATATAAACGAGGGATGGTATACATTTTTACAGTATATAAACAAGGGATGGTATACATTTTCACTGTATATAAATGGGGGATGGTATACATTTTCACTGTATATAAACGGGGGATGGTATACATTTTCACTGTATATAAACGGGGGATGGTATACATTTTTACTGTATACAGTATATAAACGAGGGATGGTATACATTTGGTATACATTTCCCTCACTGTATATAAAAGAGGGATGGTATATATTTTCACTGTATATAAACGAGGAATGGTATACATTATCACTGTATATAAACGGGGGATGGTATACATTTTTACTGTATATCAATTGGGGATGGTATACATTTTCACTGTATATAAACGAGGGATGGTATACATTTGCACTGTATATAAACGAGGGAGGGTATACATTTTCACTGTATATAAACGAGGGAGGGTATACATTTTCACTGTATATAAATGGGGGATGGTATACATTTTCACTGTATATAAACGGGGGGATGGTATACATTTTCACTGTATATAAACGGGGGATGGTATACTACATTTTCATTGTATATAAACGAGGGATGGTATACATTTTCACTGTATATAAACGAGTGATGGTATACATTTTCACTGTATATAAACGGGGAATGTAATGCCTTTTCACTGTATATAAAAGAGGGATGGTTAACATTTTCACTGTATATAAACGAGGGATGGTATACATTTTCACTGTATATAAACGGGGGATGGTCTACATTTTCAATGTATATAAAAGAGGGATGGTATGCATTTTCACTATATATAAACGAGGGATGGTATACATTTTCACTGTATATAAACGGGGGATGGTATACATTTTCACTGTATATAAACGGGGGATAGTATACATTTTCACTGTATATAAACGAGGGATGGTATACATTTTCACTGTATATAAACGAGGGATGGTATACATTTTCACTGTATATAAACGAGGAATGGTATACATTTTCACTGTATATAAATGGGGGATGGTATACATTTTCACTGTATATAAACGAGGGATGGTATACATTTTCACTGTATATATATAAACTGTATATAAACGGGGGAGGGATGTATATAAACATTTTCACTGTATATAAACGAGGGATGGTATACATTTTCACTGTATATAAACGAGGGATGGTATACATTTTCACTGTATATAAACGAGGGATGGTATACATTTTCACTGTATATAAACGGATATACATTTTCACTGGGTATATAAAAGAGGGATATACATTTTCACTGTATATAAACAAGGGATGGTATACATTTTCACTGTATATAAACGAGGGATGGTATACATTTTCACTGTATATAAACGTTAGATGGATATACATTTCACTGTATATAAACGAGGATGGTATACATTTTCGAGGGATGGTATACATTTTTACTGTATATATATATAAACGATGGGGGATGGTATATATTTTCACTGTATATGGTATACATTTTCACTGTATATAAACGGGGGATGGTATACATTTTTACTGTATATCAATTGGGGATGGTATACAATTTCAATGTATAAAAAAGAGGGATGGTATACATTTTTACTATATATAAACGAGGGATGGTATATACATTTCCACTGCATATAAACGAGGGATGGTATACATTTTCACTGTATATAAACGAGGGATGGTATACATTTTCACTGTATATAAACGGGGGATGGTATACATTTTCACTGTATATAAACGGGGGATGGTATACATTTTCACTGTATATAAATGGGGGATGGTATACATTTTCACAGTATATAAACGAGGGATGGTATAGATTTTTACTGTATATAAACGAGGGATGGTATAGATTTTTACTGTATATAAACGAGGGATGTAACACATTTTCACTGTATATAAATGGGGGATGGTATACATTTTTACTGTATATAAATGGGGGATGGTATACATTTTCACTGTATATAAACGAGGAATGGTATACATTTTCACTGTATATAAACGAGGGATGGTATACATTTTTACTGTATATAAACGGGGGATGATATACATTTTCACTCTATATAAAAGAGGGATGGTATACATTTTCACTGTATATAAACGGGGGATGGTATACATTTCCACTGTATATAAACGAGGGATGGTAAACATTTCCACTATATATAAACGAGGGATGTAATACATTCTCACTGCATCTAAACGAAGGATGGTATACATTTTCACTATATATAAACGAGGAATGGTATACATTTTCACTGTATATAAACGGGGAATGGTATACATTTTTACTGTATATAAATTGGGGATGGTATACATTTTCACTGTATATAAATGGGGGATGGTATACATTTTCACTATATATAAAAGAGGGATGGTATACATTTTTACTGTATATAAACGAGGAATGGTATACATTTTCACTGTATATAAACGAGGGATGGTATACATTTTCATTGTATATAAACGAGGGATGGTATACATTTTCACTGTATATAAACGAGTGATGGTATACATTTTCACTGTATATAAACTGGGGATGGTATACATTTTCACTGTGTATAAAAGAGGGATGGTATACATTTTCACTGTATATAAACGAGGGATAGTATACATTTTCATTGTATATAAAAGGGGGATGGTATACATTTTCACTGTATATAAACGAGGGATGGTGTACATTTTCACTGTATATAAACGAGGGATGGTAGACATTTTCACTGTATAGAAACTGGGGATGGTATACATTTTCACTGTATATAATCGAGGGATGGTATACATTTTCACTGTATATAAACGAGGGATGGTATACATTTTCACTGTATATAAACGAGGGATGGTATACATTTTCACTGTATATAAACGAGAGATGGTATACATTTGCACTGTATATAAACGAGGGATGGTATACATTTTTACAGTATATAAATAAGGGATGGTATACATTTTCACTGTATATAAAAGAGGGATGTCGTTTTGAAAGTGATTTATTATTTACTATTGAAACCTAAAGCTGTTAATCAGTATAGCTAAAAAATGAACATGGCTTACTTATACAACATATAGATATTTGACGACACACTTTGTATCGATAACACAATGTTGTAGATACAGTTCCTCAACCTTTGGGTATCCCTTCTTCTCGTTCTCGTTTTTTGTAACGTATTTGATTAATGTGTTACCGCTGACTCTCTAACAGGCACTACACACTATCACAGTTGTTCGTTCTTGGTAAAAGGTTAAAAAGCACATCGAAGGTACCCCTAATATTCTGTTCTCGTGTGACCCATATATTGTCAGACCACTGTTGAAACTAAGTTTTGTATTTGTAACAGGCGGTTGATCTTGAATAAACACAATCTTTTTAAGTAGGTCAGCTCCGTTGTTGTTTTTGTCACGTGATAACAAAAATAAATAGCAAACGATGTTTCTGTAGGAAATATGATACAATGTGTTTTGTTTATTTAATACCAGAACTTTATTATGAAGACGTTGTAATAAACAAAATATTGTGAACAGTTCGGGGTTCCTTATCACGGAGGACTATTTAGGATATAAACAATATTATTTTCTGTATTAGTTATCTCGAACGCGCGACATAACCTCTCCAGCGCTCGACACATTATCTCTAGATCTCAACTTAACTTCTTGAGCGTTCAATTGACCTTCGCGAGCGCACGACATACTTTCTCAAGTGCTCGACATATTACCTCAGGAGCTCAACTTAACTTCTCGAACACTCGAATTCACTTCGACTTATTATCTTGAGAGCTCAACTTCTCAAGTACTCGACTAAACTTCTTGCCTCTTTACCTGGAAAAATTCACTAGGTTAAAGGCGAATCCTTTGATAGATAAATATATTTACATGTTTGTTGATTTCGACACTTGAAAAAGACACTTTTAATTTAGAAATATTCATTACAATTCAATCAGTTTTCATTCTCGTCGATCTTAAGTCCGCATCAAATACACTGTCTATTTTATACCAGTAATGATCCCATAGTTGAAAATTCTATATCATTTTAAAAGGGCATATATAAATATTTCACAGCCTTTATTTTTTCATATTCTTTATTTTATCCCTGAAAATAACGAAACGTTATACCGCTACGAAAATAACAGCCTTTACAGTACCTAGTACTAACGTGCTTTGTCGTGTTTACTAGGTGCGGCTTGTAGTAGTGGTGAACTTGTTGGGAACAGCAATCCTCAAAGTGATAAACAGAATCAGGACTCTTCCACTGGTAAGTATCCATACTTAGAGTCAATCACGTTAGGTAAACAAAACCAGCACTCCTCCACCATAAAAAGACTGACCATGTACGAAATTGTCTGACTACGCCGAAATACACATATTGGTATTCACTTAAAGTTTAGGCAGTGTATATGGGATGGTTTACCCACCAAGAAGTCTTTACATGTTGAAGAGCGCCAGACGAAACATAGAATTTTTCACTGCATTACTGTATATAGCTATAACATAATAGCAATCATAGACGTATCAAAATTGATCGGTGATTATAAAAGTCATTCTAATTTGTCAGTTTTTGGCAATAGTACTGGACCCTGCACTGATCAGCCTTTATATCGTATAGTTTCACACGTCAGAGAGATGACATAAATCCTGCAGAAACTAGGATAATTGTATAATCTATACTTAACGAGAAATGCAACAGTCATATTAGATAGTATATTGACGGATAAAGAAAATCCGTAAACAAAAAGAATAGTGTTAGGTATTTTATCCGCAGAAAGCAACAGCTTATCATCACTCAGATTGACCGATCAGTGGTCCGTTTAACTAGCACTTCTCAACGTTAAAAGGTTCACAAACAGAGCAGTCATTCTCACAGCTACTCTTTCCTCATTACAATCAAACTTGAAACAATGTAAGACACGATATAATTAATTCTATACGAAATTTATTCAACAAGACTCAAAACAACAGAATTTTGGCAAATTTTGAGTATGTACCATCATATATCAATATACCTGGAAATAAAAAGCTGACGACCTCTCTTCAGAATAACACACAAGAATGTAAAGTGACATTATCCAAGAAAGAAATATATATAAATAACCTAGGGGAAATCACAGATAAAAATATCAAACCAAAAAGCATTACAACGAAATGAATTAGAAGATATTTTATTACAAGACAAAGATTAGAGACAACTAAACTAAAACGTGCTATCAGAACATTGGTTTAAGATGTCTTACCAGACTGTCAGTATTGTAATTCAGAAGAGACAATATCGATCTCCTTTCTAATATAAATTCTTGTCTGTCCTCTTTTCTGGTCTGACTCCTTCCTCTTACGATTTCTTGCACTTTCTGTAAGGTGACTTTTAGGTCCTCGTCGCCTTTTCGTATTTGCGTCCGCCATATTGCCTCTTTCTAGGCTTATACGCATGTGCAGCATCAGGGTTACGAGCAGTAATGTATTAATTAGAAAAGGACCGCAATGTTTACAATCTTTATTTTCTAGAAATCAATAAAAATGGTTGCAGTGACTTTTTATTTTAGTAATTAACAGAAAGTCTTAGTTTTGTAACATACTATTGGAAAATAGAGCGTTTTATATCGTTTTCTCGTAGTGTTTTTTAACATTATAGTCGCTTTAATTATGGGCTTGAAGGACATAGACAAGGCCTTTTTCCAAGGCTTTGGAAACCAAATATTTGTTTCTCAAACCCCATACCTAACTTGTATAATAACCACTTTACACAATTCTCGAATATTTTCTTATATGAGCAGTAAGTATTTAAAATGTTGAATTTCGACACCTTTCCTTTTTTTGTTCTGGTTGATATGCGCCGCTTATCAAACCGAATAAAATAACATTTAAATATGTAATTCTTCTCATAATCAAAGTATGATTCTATCATTTTATTAATCATCACTAGGTTGATGGAAGTAAAATGGTGAGTAAAAGGTTACTATAGCAGCGGTTAGTGAAATTTTTAAATTATTGCAATTATTTCAAACAAAAATGTTCAGCTCAAAGTAAACACTAAGGAATGTCAATATGGCCAGTCTCAACAGTCTTGAGCTGTACGTTGATAGTAAAATAATGTTTCCCGTTCTGTTGGATTGATATGTAATTTTTTTCACTATCCGCTGATTAGCTCAGATATGTGCACAAGGTAGATTGCAGAACGATCATATTTTGTTTTGTTTCTTTTTTTTTTTTTTTTTTTCTATTATTATTTTTTTTAATTTTGACTCTTTAATAACATTGACAATGTTCTCAATTTATTTACAGGTTTAAGTGTTCTACACTCCGATACAGACTATCAGGTTCCATGTGATTGTGGGGAAATTTACCAATGGGGTCACTACGCTAGAGCACATGGGGATGTTTACTTTCAGGTGTGGAGGGACACCGGAAGTACTTATGAGCTTGTTGGGGAAAATCTAATAACTTTCACGTGTAAGGAATATATCTACCTACATTTACTGGTCTAAAATAGAAATTCAGTCGGCAAAGGTTATCTACAAAACCTGTGCCATCGCGTTTATTTTCGTGTATCTATGTTGTATGGTATTTATGATAAAATGCATAATGTTTGTTTTGAGTGTTCCAAAACATTTACATCGGCAAAAAAAAAAATAATGAAACGCCTATTTACGCATTATATTGCAAAGGATATTTTATATGGCGAGAGCGAGAGAGAGAGAGAGAGGGGGAGGGGGGGGGGCAGGGAGAGAGAGACAGAGAGGGGAGAGAGAGAGGGGGAGGCAGGGAGAGAGAGACAGAAAAGGGAGAGAGAGAGAGACAGAGAGAGAGGGGGGGAGAGACAGGGAGTGAGAGAGACAGAGAGGAGAGAGAGAAACAGAGAGAGAGAGGGGGGAGAGAGACACAGAGAGAGACAGAGAGGGGGGAGAGAGAGACAGAGATAGAGAGAGAGAGAGAGAGAGAGAGAGAGAGAGAGAGAGAGAGAGAGAGAGAGAGATAGAGAGAGAGAGAGAGAGAGGGGGAGAGACAGAGATAGAGACACAGAGAGATAGAGAGAGTGTGTGTGTGTGTGTGGGGGGATGAACCGATTCCTTAACGTGAAATTGATAAACTGAAATACGTGTGTCAAATAGATTGATACCTGTTCAGATATCACCAAATGCAAAATGACCACATCGAGATAGAGTATGACCATTAGTGTTCCTGCATTACAGCATCAAACGATGGACTCGACACGACCTCTATATCAACTGGGACAATATATGCCATACAGGATGATTACCTCGCTTTGTAAGTTATTTGGTTAATTGAACATAGCTGAGAACAAACAAAAGAATTTAAAACGAAAAAAAAAATAAGACAAATGATAATAAAGTTGATAAGATCATACTGTTTCTTCCGAGATTCTCATCTCATTGATATGGCAAGCTTAAACACATTTGACGTAAAATGTCTGCACGCCTAAAGAATGGCTTGGGAAATTGAGAGATGCACTTAAATATATTTTCTATTCAAATTAATCGCAGTTCCCAAATACTTTGTATATATAATCATATTATTTTTTAAACAAAAAGTCTCCCTTACTTTGATCACATCGGTGTAGTCAACCGTTTGGTTTGGAGTGAAATTTGCCACATTTAATGTCCGATATCTTGATTGATCATTCTGACCACAGATAATTGTTATCAGAAATTAACATTCATTTCTTGTTCTATCAGGTATGTCTTATATAGTGAAAAATAATGAAGTTTTTTTGAGATATTTCTGTTGATTCCGTGGATGCTCTGATTCCACACTAAATGTCTACCAACTGTTATAGTTAGCAGAAATACATCTATATATTTATATTTATCCACGACATAAAAAAAAACAAGGAAAATGGAAAAATATAGGATATTTCAGTAATTATTTGGAAATGTAAATGAGAAAGATTCATCTGATCGCTGTGAGGTTCGATACATGATCTGTGTATTTTATGTGGCAAATCAGTATCACCTGATCTATATCCTAAGATAGTTTGCACGGAGAAAAGAATAGCATTAAAGGGATTTGTACCCGTGTATGAGTATTTGTTATCTGATACTGATTAAAACGAGGCTGTGAGCTTCTGGTGAGATATATTTAGAAAAAGTCCTTTTAAATTTTGTGAATAACCTGCCAATTGGAAATGAATTCCTGAAAAATCAAAATATGCCATCCTGTCCTTCAATTTACGATATGTATCATCTTTGAAAACGTCACAATGTATGTGACGTCATAGTTTATGACGTCACAATGGAAACATTTCAGTTTCAGTGTATGATGTTCTGTTTTATCTTATGCTAACCCTTAATGCAGAAATAGCATTTAAAATATTTATAAAAAATGCGTCGGATTATACTTAACAGAATATAGCATTTGATAGTTTTATCACACAATAATAATAAGAATAATGATAATAATTCTAAAACACTAAGGACCCACACATGTTTATATCATTGATCGATTTTGCAGTTATCAACCTGGAGCACCTGTCATTCCCTATGGTAATGGTAACGGGAACGTGAATGACTTCAAACGGAGCACCAATGTGAATGGTGCCACGACGTATGATTGGGGATCAGAGACCGTAGATGGAACCAGAAACTATGCTTTCAATGCAAAACTGAATCCAGGCAGGACCAAGATTATTTTTTCGCAACTTTCTTCATCATATGATTTCATTGCTGTGAAGTAATATGATTTCGTGGGGTCAGTTTTCGCGGTTTTCCAAATATACAAAATTTCGTATACACTTGATTTCAATGATAAACATTGGCTCACTAAATCTGCTTATTCTAACAGTTTAACAGTTCATGTATTTGAAATTGTGGAGGAATATTCACGAAATGAACGAAAATGAAACCCCCACGAAAATGAATGATTTCACGGAATTTATTAGGTACTTTACAGAAAGTACTCCACACATTTTGATCGTTCTTCAACATATATGTATATATATTTTTCTTATTTCACTTTTTACGTGGTCCAAAGGACGGATGGGTTTATAAGCCATGGCGCGGAGTCTGTCGTCCGTCATCTAGCGTCTGGCATCCGTCAACTTTCTTTTAGAAACCGCTGCTAGTCACGATTCAGGGAGTTTTAACCAAGGCTTCCGGACTCTTGGGACATAAAGGACAGGAAGTGGCGAATATATATAGATTTTTTTAAAAAATACCTTTCCTTTAATTCAGATATCTACAGTACAATCTACAGTACAATCTACAATTTACAGTACAATCTACAGTACAATCTACAATCTACAGTACAATCTACAATCTACAGTACAATCTACAATCTACAGTACAATCTACAATCTACAGTACAATCTACAGTACAATCTACAATCTACAGTACAATCTACAGTACAATCTACAGTACAATCTACAATCTACAGTACAATCTACAATCTACAGTACAATCTACAATCTACAGTACAATCTACAGTACAATCTACAATCTACAGTACAATCTACAGTACAATCTACAATCTACAGTACAATCTACAATCTACAGTACAATCTACAGTACAATCTACAGTACAAACTACAATCTACAGTACAATCTACAGTACAATCTACAATCTACAGTACAATCTACAGTACAATCTACAATCTACAGTACAATCTACAGTACAATCTACAATCTACAGTACAATCTACAGTACAATCTACAATCTACAGTACAATCTACAATCTACAGTACAATCTACAGTACAATCTACAATCTACAGTACAATCTACAGTCTACAGTACAATCTACAGTACAATCTACAGTACAATCTACAGTACAATCTACAGTACAATCTACAATCTACAGTACAATCTACAGTACAATCTACAATCTACAGTACAATCTACAATCTACAGTACAATCTACAGTACAATCTACAATCTACAGTACAATCTATAGTACAATCTATAGTACAATCTACAATCTACAGTACAATCTACAGTACAATCTACAATCTACAGTACAATCTACAGTACAATCTACAATCTACAGTACAATCTACAGTACAATCTACAATCTACAGTACAATCTACAGTACAATCTACAGTACAATCTACAGTACAATCTACAGTACAAACAGTACAATCTACAGTACAATCTACAGTACAAACTACAATCTACAGTACAATCTACAATCTACAGTACGATCTACAGTACAATCTACAGTACAATCTACAATCTACAGTACAATCTACAGTACGATCTCAAGTACAATCTACAGTACAATCTACAATCTACAGTACAATCTACAGTACAATCTACAGTACAATCTACAATCTACAGTACAATCTACAGTACAATGTACAATATCCAGTACAATCTACAATCTACAGTACAATCTACAGTACAATCTACAATCTACAGTACAATCTACAGTACAATCTACAATCTACAGTACAATCTACAGTACAATCTACAATCTACAGTACGATCTACAGAACAATCTACAATCTACAGTACAATCTACAGTACAATCTACAGTACAATCTACAATCTACAGTACAATCTACAATCTACAGTACAATCTACAGTACAATCTACAATCTACAGTACAATCTACAATCTACAGTACAATCTACAGTACAATCTACAGTACAATCTACAGTACAATCTACAATCTACAGTACAATCTACAATCTACAGTACAATCTATAATCTACAGTACAATCTACAATCTACAGCACAATCTACAGTACAATCTACAGTACAATCTACAATCTACAGTACAATCTACAATCTACAGTACAATCTACAATCTCTACAATCTACAGTACAATATACAATCTACAGTACAATCTACAGTACAATCTACAGTACAATCTACAGTACAATCTACAATCTACAGTACAATCTACAGTACAATCTACAGTACAATCTACAATCTACAGTACAATCTACAGTACAATCTACAGTACGATCTACAGTACAATCTACAATCTACAGTACAATCTACAGTACAATCTACAGTACAATCTACAGTACAATCTACAATCTACAGTACAATCTACAGTACAATCTACGGTACAATCTACAATCTTAAGTACAATCTATAGTACAATCTACAATCTACAGTACAATCTACAGTACAATCTACAATCTACAGTATAATCTACGGTACAATCTACAATCTACAGTACAATCTACAGTACAATCTACAATCTACAGTACAATCTACAGTACAATCTACAGTACAATCTACAATCTACAGTACAATCTACAATCTACAGTACAATCTACAGTACAATCTACAATCTACAGTACAATCTACAGTACAATCTACAATCTACAGTACAATCTACAATCTACAATACGATCTACAATCTACAGTATAATCTACGGTACAATCTACAATACGATCTACAGTACAATCTACAATCTACAGTACAATCTACAATCTACAGTACAATCTACAGTACAATCTACAATCTACAGTACAATCTACAATCTACAGTACAATCTACAGTACAATCTACAGTACAATCTACAGTACAATCTACAATCTACAGTACAATCTACAGAACAATCTACAATCTACAGTACAATCTACAGTACAATCTACAATCTACAGTACAATCTACAATCTACAGTACCATCTACAGTACAATCTACAGTACAATCTACAATCTACAGTACAATCTACAGTACAATCTACAATCTACAGTACAATCTACAGTACAATCTACAATCTACAGTACAATCTACAGTACAATCTACAGTACAATCTACAATCTACAGTACAATCTACAGTACAATCTACAGTACAATCTACAGTACAATCTACAATCTACAGTACAATAAACAGTAGAATCTACATTATACAGTACAATCTACAATCTACAGTACAATCTACAGTACAATCTACAATCTACAGTACAATCTACAATCTACAGTACAATCTACAGTACAATCTACAGTACAATCTACAATCTACAGTACAATCTACAATCTACAGTACAATCTACAGTACAAACTACAATCTACAGTACAATCTACAATCTACAGTACAATCTACAGTACAATCTACAGTACAATCTACAGTACAATCTACAGTACAATCTACAGTACAATCTACAGTACAATCTACAATCTACAGTACAATCTACAGTACAATCTACAATCTACAGTACAATCTACAGTACAATCTACAATCTACAATCTACAGTACAATCTACAATCTACAGTACAATCTACAGTACAATCTACAATCTACAGTACAATCTACAGTACAATCTACAATCTACAGTACAATCTACAGTACAATCTACAGTACAATCTACAATCTACAGTACAATCTACAATCTACAGTACAATCTACAATCTCAGTACAATCTACAATCTACAGTACAATCTACAATCTACAGCACAATCTACAGTACAATCTACAGTACAATCTACAATCTACAGTACAATCTACAGTACAATCTACAATCTACAGTACAATCTACAATCTACAGTACAATCTACAGTACAATCTACAATCTACAGTACAATCTACAGTACAATCTACAGTACAATCTACAGTACAATCTACAATCTACAGTACAATCTACAGTACAATCTACAATCTACAGTACAATCTACAATCTAAAGTACAATCTACAGTACAATCTACAATCTACAGTACAATCTACAATCTACAGTACAATCTACAGTACAATCTACAATCTACAGTACAATCTACAGTACAATCTACAATCTACAGTACAATCTACAATCTACAGTACAATCTACAGTACAATCTACAGTACAATCTACAATCTACAGTACAATCTACAGTACAATCTACAATCTACAGTACAATCTACAGTACAATCTACAATCTACAGTACAATCTACAGTACAATCTACAATCTACAGTACAATCTACAGTACAATCTACAATCTACAGTACAATCTACAGTACAATCTACAGTACAATCTACAATCTACAGTACAATCTACAGTACAATCTACAATCTACAGTACGATCTCAAGTACAATCTACAGTACAATCTACAATCTACAGTACAATCTACAGTACAATCTACAGTACAATCTACAATCTACAGTACAATCTACAGTACAATCTACAATCTACAGTACAATCTACAGTACAATCTACAGTACAATCTACAGTACAATCTACAGTACAATCTACAATCTACAGTACAATCTACAGTACAATCTACAATCTACAGTACAATCTACAGTACAATCTACAGTACAATCTACAATCTACAGTACAATCTACAGTACAATCTACAATCTACAGTACAATCTACAATCTACAGTACAATCTACAGTACAATCTACAGTACAATCTACAGTACAATCTACAATCTACAGTACAATCTACAATCTACAGTACGATCTACAGTACAATCTACAGTACAATCTACAATCTACAGTACAATCTACAGTACAATCTACAGTACAATCTACAATCTACAGTACAATCTACAGTACAATCTACAGTACAATCTACAATCTACAGTACAATCTACAATCTACAGTACAATCTACAGTACAATCTACAGTACAATCTACAATCTACAGTACAATCTACAATCTACAGTACAATCTACAGTACAATCTACAATCTACAGTACAATCTACAGTATAATCCAACTCTAACAGTACAGAAGACAGACGAGGCATTGCATTACGGTGAGCGGAAGTGATTAAGCAACAAAAGTGAATCGTTGGATGTTTCTTACCCTATCGTAAAGTTTGTTGTTGTCCATCGGGAAAGACAACGTTTCCACCATTTGTTTGTATCGTTACTAGGTAACAAAAGAGGTGAGCAATACCGGAAGTATACAATGTAGACATACGTTGAAGAAAGATCACGTGTGTGTAGCATTACGCTCACAGCACGTAAGGATACAAAACACATAACGCTGTGCTTCATCCTACAATTAATAACATGTTTTCAAAGGAATATATACCTCCACCAACATGTAATCTGACACCAATATTCACAGTAAAATATTGAAAGAGTTTTACTTAAATGTTATAACTGAATGCTATAGTCTCAATACAAAATTAAAATGGAGGAAACACAAAACATGAGCTTAATCACCGTTTACAACATCCAGGGACATTCAGATTTCAGCTTATTATGAGTTCAAGTCAAAATATAATCTCGCAAACCTGTCTGTTTCGGGTCTATATTCTTAAAACCTCTCATGGTTTTTGTTGATACTATAGCAGCTTCTAGTTTCTGGTTATAATTCATTGAGTTCGGATTAAGCGTTATAAGCAAAATATTTTTCATTTATATGCGTTTCGTTTACGTTATCATAATACGATCATTTCATTCCAACGAAAAGGAAACGCATAAGAGTTTTGTATTTATTCTCTTTTATCTATATACATGTTATTTCATTTGTTTCAATTATCTTATAGGATTAAATATTGTTATATTATAAATATCAAACAAAATCTATTAATCTGTTTATTGTAGTACCAACGAACAGTCCAACTTTTGGCAATTTGGACGGTTCAGCCAGTATTTCTGACAGTGCAACAGCTGGGACGAGTGTGTATACGGTAGGCGTGTCTGATGTAGATGGCGATATCTTGTCGACAGAGATGACGTCAGTTTCAACATATTTCAGCTTCGACTCTGCAACACGTAAGACGATTGGTTACCAATATAAATTGATAATGTAGAATGTAATGAGAGAGACCAAAAGTCCTTTCCCGAACCAGAGGACTAAACAATTTGTTGATGTCGTATGCTTAAAGCTATATCTTAGGTCCGAGTGGTGTTTTTCGAGAGCCATGCACGTCGATCGTATTTGCAAACACTTTAAGCTGTGTATCTCTACAATCAGGTGAAGTTAGTTTGCTGTCGACTGTGCCAGCTAGCACATACCAACTGGTATTTGAAGTCGCAGACAGATGCGCTAACACTGCAACAGGAACACTAACTGTGACTGTAGCAGATCCCTGTGCTGGCTCGTCCAGTCCGACGTTCTCCGACGCCACTCCGACAGCCTCCATATCTACGACGGCCGCCGTCGGTACAACAGTATACACCTTTACAGTGTCGGACGTGGACGGCGGCACCCTCAGTACAGTTATGACGTCATCATCAACTTATTTTTCGTTCGACACGTCTACACGTGAGAAAAATTATTGAATATGTGTTGATTTTGTTCATACATGTAGATTAATTTGTATCAATAGACGAATCGGGACGCGTATCGTGAATGTTTGTGTAAAAAAAAAAAAAAAAAAAAATAAAGAACTTTTTTGTATTTTGGAAACAGTGTATATCAAACATGGTATAGATATAGGGTATACATATATATACATTTAAAGTATTGTTGTTCAATCTCATTAAAGTCATATCTAATTTTCCTTCCATGTACATGTTAAAATTATCCAAATATCAACTACACTGATAAATCTGTAGTACAAAATTGTTTTAGATTTTGGAATGGCACATTCTGTAGTCTTGCTTTATTATCTCGGTAAGATAATATGAGTTGGTTTAATACATTAGTTATCTATACACCCTTTTTGTCAAATTTTAAAAAATGGTATTTTTCATAACAAATAAGGTAATTTCATGTTTCAGTTGAGGTAAAAGTTTTATCGACTGTCCCTGCTGCAACTTACCCTCTGAATTTCGAAGTGACGGATGACTGTTCCAACACGGCGACAGCCACGCTCTCTGTGACTGTTACAGATCCCTGTGCCGGCTCGTCAAGTCCGACGTTCTCCGACGCCACTCCAACAGCCTCCATATCTACGACGGCCGCCGTCGGTACAACAGTATACACCTTTACAGTGTCGGACGTGGACGGCGGCACCCTCAGTACAGTTATGACGTCATCATCAACTTATTTTTCGTTCGACACGTCTACACGTGAGTAAAAATACCAGATGGTGTTTATACAATCATCGTACATGTAGAATGACATTTATGAATAGTTAATTTTATAAACATTGTGTTTAAACATTGCTTATGACTTGCACAATAGTATTGTTATATGTGCTATCAATAACCCAAAACAACTGTGTACAAAGAAGGCAGGTAGCGGAGTTGTAAAAACGCATTTGTTTACTGACGTGCTGAATTGTAGACTGATTAACAATATATCTCGCGCCAACGTCAAGAAATAGACGAACTTTTCTTATTCATCTCCGTATACTGCAGTTGTATACGACAAGGAAGTCCCATTTCATAACAGAAGTATATCAAGCATGTACGGTATTCCATGTAGAATGCCACTAACAAACAATGGAAAGGCGGCATCACTGCGTATCTTTTTTCCGAACTTTATTAAGTAAAAGACTATATACATAGTATTACAATTTTTGCAATGAAAACTGATTTTATCAAGAAAAAAAAACAACATCTTAGTTGTAAAATGAATCTCATTTTATGATTATATTGTTCTTAAATAAGTAAACAACACAGCATTTGAGGAAGAAAACTTTATTCACTATTTTTCAAATTCTAGCAAGTATTTTATTTTTCGTTTGTTTTTTCATGTGACTTTGTAGTACAAAATATATGATGCTTCTTACAATGTGACCTTCATTATTTTGTGTTAGATATATCCATTGTAGTCTGTAAGATACCAATCAAAAGTAGGATGGGAATCGTTATATCTAATGCTATAGTGAAAATTGCAAAATAGTAAACATATTTGTCTTGTTACCAGTCATAACAAACATCATTATATTTGTTATCAACAATGTTTGGCCTTCATGTACCCGTTGTATAATTATGTATTGTGTATGAAAGATGATTAAGATACACCCATTATAGATAAAGCATCTGAAGGTATGCATTACAATGAAAAGGTCATAATTGTAAAAATGCTAGGTCAAAATGCTAGGTCAAAGTTCATATATAACTGGGATGAGTACTGAAAATGTTAGTGTAAAACAAAGATTAACTTTGAGCATTTCTGGAACAATGATTTGATGTACGGACTATTTTGATAACTTCATGTAGTACGATCGTGTTACTTCATTGGCGTCAAAGTTGTTTTCTTTCTTTTGCATGCCAATAATTCAATTGAGGTACAATCTTTGGATCGCACACCGTTAAACAAAGGTGCGTTGTGCGCACGATGTATGCCTGATGTGCGCACGATAGAAACATTGGACGAAATGAGCCATAGCATATTTGGGCGTACGTTGTGCAGTTATATTGCACAAATGTACTATTCTATCATTGTTGTTATACATTTAGAAATTATTTATAAATAAATATGGAATGGTGTTGATGTATGTTTTCTTAAATATGTAAGGATACAAATATATCAAAATTCTAATATATTGGCAGGAAACACCGAATAGTTAGATACACTCGTAGTGTTGTTTCGAAAACTGTCGAATTGGAAATGACTTTGGTAATAACCAATCAATTTTAATGTTCATGTGATAGTTATTTAGCAACAACTTCATGAATTTTCCTTTTTATTATCAATACGCAATATTCGCCTACGATTTTTACCAAACAGCACAAAATGTGCGATCCTATCGTACAGTTGTGCGCACGATACTATACCGTGGATGCGTGCGCACGATACGGCATGATGTATGCACAATGTGGAACGACCTGCGTACGATGTGCGCACGAAGTATGTGGGGCGATGTGGGTTACCAAAAACTGTAGTTAGGTTACAAACGTTTTCCCTAAAATATTTTTTAGATTAACACATTGTTTAGTGGAGACCCTTTGGTTGACTAATATTGCATTCTGTTGATTTCATGCAGGAAGTAGCACGTTGAATCTTTGTATATCATATAAGGTAATTTCATGTTTCAGTTGAGGTAAAAGTTTTATCGACTGTCCCTGCTGCAACTTACCCTCTGAATTTCGAAGTGACGGATGACTGTTCCAACACGGCGACAGCCACGCTCTCTGTGACTGTTACAGATCCCTGTGCTGGCTCGTCCAGTCCGACGTTCTCCGACGCCACTCCGACAGCCTCCATGTCTACGACGGCCGCCGTCGGTACAACAGTATACACCTTTACAGTGTCGGACGTGGACGGCGGCACCCTCAGTACAGTTATGACGTCATCATCAACTTATTTTTCGTTCGACACGTCTACACGTGAGTAAAAATACCAGATGGTGTTTAAACAATGATCGTACATGTAGAATGACATTTATGAATAGTTAATTTTATAAACATTGTGTTTAAACATTGCTTATGACTTGCACAATAGTATTGTTATGTGTGCTATCAATAACCTAAGACAACTGTGTACAAAGAAGGCAGGTAGCGGAGTTGTAAAAACGCATATGTTTACTGACGTGCTGAATTGTAGACTGACTAACAATAGATCTCGCGCCAACGTCAAGAAATTGACGAACTTTCCATATTCATCACGGTATTTAAAAGACAAATCGCTCAAATGGAACTTCCTTCAGGATACTGCAGTTTTATACGACAAAGAAGTCCCATTTCACTACATTCTCCCTGTTTTGTAATTCGCAAAGGCATCCTTCTCTGTCTGCTCTTTAGATCTAATTGGATTCATACCCTTCCTATTCTGATGACTTTTCGGCAGCGCCTGCCGAGATTCTCGCCTATCCGTAGATCAGCTGCCAGTTTTTGCTTGGGAAGAAATGTAAGGAATCCCAGTGCAGGTCTCCGGTCAAGTCCAAAGAGGTTGAAGATCTGCACATCCTCACTGTACAAGGTGTTTACTGAATCAATCTCACCAACACAGCGTAGTTTTTACGTCTCATGGTTCATAGTGGGAAGTCGTGGTCCTCTGATGGTTTCATGCGGCCTTGTTGGAATATAGCTGTCATCTAGTCCACTTTCCGATACAAATTCGTGACTTCACGGCGGTGATTTCGTATGGAACCACCAAGGCTGTTTGAGTTTTGGTCGCCGTGTCAACTTTGCATACAACATCCCGAACTTCATGAAGGTTTTTGGTTCAAGTGTTCATCAGAGAAGCGCCTATGCGGTCTTGCGCAGCACACAGGTCCTCACACGCTATCCAGTGAGGACCTTGCACAGCGTTCAAAAGGGAACGTACCTAGTCGATTGGCTCCTTGCGTTCCTAGTTCAGCGTTTGAAATCTGTCACTCAAACTGAAATTCAGCATACTTCATGGGCATACGACAAGGAAGTCCCATTTCATAACAGAAGTATATCAAGCAGGTATGGTATTCAATGTAGAATGCCACTAACAAACAATGGAAAGGCGGTGTCACTGCGTATCTTTTTTTTCCGAATTTTATTTAGTAAACGACTATATACATAGTATTACAATTACACTATACCGTGGTGCGGGCGCACGATGCAGCACGATGTATGCACAATGTGCATAATGTCTGCATACGACATGCGCACGAAGTATGTGGTGCGATGTGGGTTACCACAACTGTAGGTATGTTACAAACGTTTTCCCTAAAAATGTTTAAGATTAACACATTGTTTAGTGTAGAATCTTTGGTTGACTAATATTACATTCTGTTGATTTTATGCAGGAAGTAGCACATTGAATCTTTGTATATCATATAAGGTAATTTCATGTTTCAGTTGAGGTAAAAGTTTTATCGACTGTCCCTGCTGCAACTTATCCTCTGAATTTCGAAGTGACGGATGACTGTTCCAACACGGCGACAGCCACGCTCTCTGTGACTGTTACAGATCCCTGTGCTGGCTCGTCCAGTCCGACGTTCTCCGACGCCACTCCGACAGCCTCCATGTCTACGACGGCCGCCGTCGGTACAACAGTATACACCTTTACAGTGTCGGACGTGGACGGCGGCACCCTCAGTACAGTTATGACGTCATCATCAACTTATTTTTCGTTCGACACGTCTACACGTAAGTGATATTACCAGATTAAGTTTAAAATGGTCATGAATATATGAATTGTAATAGTTACTGTCACATAATCAGCCTGTTATCTAGTAAATTGAATCGAAGGAAATATTTTTTCTTACATTTCAATCACTATCTTCCATACAACAACTTTGAATGTTTTTTTCCGTTATAAAGGACTTGCAGCGTTCATCCGCCGAAGAGATTATTAAGACACCTAAATTTACACCCCCGCTCTCGATCTAGATATATAACTTTGTATTTGTTTTATGTTCTATGTATGTGAGAAATTCATGTAATATCTATGTCTTGATAAAGTGCCATTACTTCATTGATCATATATATATATATATTTGTGACTGGTGATTTATATCCTGGAACGGTTGTCATTGGTTATGCAATACAGAAAGCGATCATGATATCATAACAGGGACATACGACGTTACGTCATTAGTTGAAAATCGAGCAATGAAATAACTGCTTTTGTTACTTTTTTGTCATTTACATCCGAACTTTAAAATCTGTCAAAATGCATCTTCAACGCAATGTGATAGAACGTATGTTAAAGAAGTTTTCGTCTCAGAATGAGAATCTATGAAATTGGTCTTAGAGTTCTTTACTTTGCTCATATTAAGAAAATATATCTTAGACCTGTTTTATAAAATCTCACATGAAATGAAAAAAAAAAACTTATCTCAGACCCAGTATATATAATTTTTAAGATAAAAAAGATAAAAATATCATCAGTAATGCCGTTATTTAATAAACTGAAGCATCATCAGAGTCTCAAGTCACAGCTTAAATACACTAGATAGTAATTCTCAATTTCCTATAAGATTCCTACAAAACATATGTTTATAAAGGATGTCACTATTCCAGAGGAAATGAAATCTAAAAGATAACTTAATCACTGCTTAACGATTCCAAACCGATATCAAGTATACCTTAAAAACAAGACCTTATATATATATATATGTGAAGTGCTTGTATTATACATCTAAATAGGTCACTTAATGTTTCAGTTGAGGTAAAAGTTTTATCGACTGTCCCTGCTGCAACTTACCCTCTGAATTTCGAAGTGACGGATGACTGTTCCAACACGGCGACAGCCACGCTCTCTGTGACTGTTACAGATCCCTGTGCTGGCTCGTCCAGTCCGACGTTCTCCGACGCCACTCCGACAGCCTCCATATCTACGACGGCCGCCGTCGGTACAACAGTATACACCTTTACAGTGTCGGACGTGGACGGCGGCACCCTCAGTACAGTTATGACGTCATCATCAACTTATTTTTCGTTCGACACGTCTACACGTGAGAAAAATTATTGAATATGCGTTGATTTTGTTCATACATGTAGATTAATTTGTATCAATAGACGAATCGGGACGCGTATCGTGAATGTTTGTGTAAAACAAAAAAAAAAAATAAAAAAAAAAGAACTTTTTTGTATTTTGGAAACAGTGTATATCAAACATGGTATAGATATAGGGTATACATATATATATATTTAAAGTATTGTTGTTCAATCTCATTAAAGTCATATCTAATTTTCCTTCCATGTACATGTTAAAATTATCCAAATATCAACTACACTGATAAATCTGTAGTACAAAATTGTTTTAGATTTTGGAATGGCACATTCTGAAGTCTTGCTTTATTATCTCGGTAAGATAATATGAGTTGGTTTAATACATTAGTTATCTATACACCCTTTTAGTCAAATTTTAAAAAATGGTATTTTTCATAACAAATAAGGTAATTTCATGTTTCAGTTGAGGTAAAAGTTTTATCGACTGTCCCTGCTGCAACTTACCCTCTGAATTTCGAAGTGACGGATGACTGTTCCAACACGGCGACAGCCACGCTCTCTGTGACTGTTACAGATCCCTGTGCTGGCTCGTCCAGTCCGACGTTCTCCGACGCCACTCCAACAGCCTCCATATCTACGACGGCCGCCGTCGGTACAACAGTATACACCTTTACAGTGTCGGACGTGGACGGCGGCACCCTCAGTACAGTTATGACGTCATCATCAACTTACTTTTCGTTCGACACGTCTACACGTAAGTGATATCACCAGGTTAACTTTTAAATGATCATGAATATGGTAATAGTTATTGTCACATAATCAGCCTGTAATCTAGTGAACTGAATTCCTTTTCGTTCGATTCTTCAACACGTGAGTAGCTAAACTGATTTTATTTATTTATTTTATTTTAATGTTCTTTACACTATTTGACCTAAGTTTCTGCTCAGACAAATGCCCATGACATTTCAGTTTCTTTCAAGTTTTGAAGATTCTAGTTGTTGCTAACAGTACATATATTAAAGAAAATACAAACCAGTACAAAATCCGCCGATGTAGTTATTCACTACTATATAGGCTGGCGGTAACTTGGGAAGGTCATGAGTATTGTTAACGTCTTAGCTATGTTTTAATCCTAGCGAAAAACAAGTTCACCCAATGACGATTATTTCCGTCGTTGCGATTTGTCAAATTATGTATGAAATATAGTTCTATCATTTTAAAAACTGTTCTACATCGATATAAAGTCAGTACATGTCTCTGCTGAAGGAATCCATGCCAGAGAAAAATTGGTATCTCTCTTTTGCCTCAGACTTCAAACACTACGCCCATAGTATCATTGGCAAGTCCTAGAAGGACGAAACAGTTGTATGATGCAGTTTTAATTATTGTGTTGCTCTAACACTTTAATATGTATTAAAAGGAGATATTTATTTATGTTTCTTTGGACAATATTCTAGATAACAGGTGGTGGAACTTCTGATGTAATATTAGTACCCAAGGTTTGCAGCAACTTCCATACCACGCTCGAAAATTGATAAGGTTCAGAACATACACACGTACTTCGCGTTCTAATTACAAAATGCATTCAATTATAAAGCTATTAACTTTCCAATCTACGAACGATAATTTTATGAATTTCCATCAGTCGCCGTCTTGTCTTTAAATCTTTGTCCAGTTACATCACTGACGAGTCCCTGAAGGAAAAAAAACCAGCTGTATGATATATTTTATTCGGTGTTTGACTCCACTATTCCTAATTCTAAATTTATTTTAAGAAGTGTTATTTACTTGTGAGTCAGATGTTTTTATCTTCACAATATGTAAATGATTTAAATAATTCTCCACGTTCCAGTTGAAGTGAAGGTTGCTTCCACCGTTCCGGCTGGAAATTACAGTTTGGATTTTCAGACAACGGATGACTGTTCTAACATGGCTACCTCTTCCCTGTCAGTAAGAGTACTTAGTTTAAGTGAAGTGACTCCGACCTTCAGCGTCTCATCAGCCACCCCCGCCATATCTGAGAATTCACCGATAGGTACGACCGTCGTACGTCTTACAGTGACAGACCCCGATGGCGGCACAACAAATAGCACTATGACGTCATCTTCCGCATACTTCGAACTGGACCCTGTAACACGTAAGCGGACATCCAACTCAAAAATACAAACGATAGGTGTCTGAGTGTACCTCAATAAACTCGTAACAACAGTATCGTTTCGACACAAGTACCCATTATTGAACAAGGGAGTTGCATATTCACTTTGAAATCGTTCAAAAGAGCTAAGTATTGATTAGCGTTTATTCGGCATCCCCACAGTTGCCTTTCTTCTAGCTGCAATAGCTTTTTTCGATACTGAACAATTATCATCGATCGCAATTGCAAAGGACGCTATTTTTATATTACAATTGGTGAAAGTTCTGCCATCTCTTGTATTTTTTCCGGCAATATAATTCTGTATTTTGTTAATACGGTGCAGTGAGTACGTAATATAAAATGATGTGTGATGCAGTCCTTTGTTTGGTATATACTGTACATATGAGTTTATTACATCGAATGACGTTCGTTTTGGTGTTTTCGAGATGTTTGACTGACAAGATTTGCTGATATAAATGTACTCAAGTCTCTGAGATATGCTGTTCTCCTGCATGTTTTCTCTGAATGACAGTTTACCGATTCCTATAGTTCATGAATTCAGGGACAACTCGAATTCGTATTCATATCATATATTTGTATCGTTATACGGTCTAGAGGAACACTTGATCATTTGTAATGTAAAAACTAAAAATCGACGGTACAGTTAACTTGATATACTACCAATATAATCAATTCAAAATAGATTACGACATCCTGAATTCTATGTATTGTTACGTTTATGTGGTAATATGTAGGAGTTGAAAGGGTTAAGGTTACACACACAAACTTCTGTATAAAACATCTAACCCCCTGATATAAGCCAAAAACATGAGCCAAAAAATTAAATTTGGAGACGATATTCATTAAGTCTCGTATGAAACAAACATCAATAAAGACACATTTCATCGCATAAAGTTTTCACAGGTTTAAATATAGAAAATGAAGAGGACAAAATCAAACTGAAACTACCATTTTGCTGTGTCATTTTCAGATCATTAAGCTACGGCATTGTCTATATTTTCACATGACAATCTATTTCAGACTGACGCAACCAATAGAAACCGCTAAGTGGTATATTACACAAGTGATAAATTTAATGGATAACAGATCGATCATGTGATAGAAGATGCCTTAACTAGTTGATTAAGATGTTAAATCATAACATGTTATTTATAACAAATATGTATCACATACAAAATAATCAGATATTTGTTTTGTAGTTGATATCAAAGTATTATCAACTTTGCCATCCGGTACATACGTACTAGACTTTCAAGTGGTGGACAACGACGGAAACATTGGTACTACACAAGTCAACATTACTGTCGGAAATGCGGTAAATACGAGTAAAAAGTAGTATTATATATATATATATATATGAGAACACCGCAACACAAAAAACAAAAGACAGCTCCACCCTTCCACACACAAAGTCTGGGTATTAGGCACACAGTCTAAAGGAAGGCACAATCCCAAAAACCAAACAGCTGCAGAAAGCAGTGTCTTGTCTCATACTGATCCAGTTTATTAAGTGGCCATTACCAAACCAATTTATATATTGCGTTTTCAAAATAAATTTAGTAGTTGATTTATGAATATTTTCATGCAATAACTGAAGTCTGTTATTTAGTTTTAGATTCTGACGATCTACTTTCATTATTAACTCTCTGTATGCTCTGCTAGTAACCTATTCATAATAACGATCATCCATGTGTCTTATTTGTCTGAACAATTGTGGAATTCCAAATTTATTTGAAAACAGCATATATCGATGAATGATGATATCACCTTTCCCTTAAATTACACATATTTAAATTACTAAGGCCTGTGTCGATATTATTCCAAATTTTTTCTTCATTTGCTTATCATCACTGAATGAATCGGGGGAATGAACAACTCGACGCATACTGTTTCTATATAACGTTAAGATTATTTTTAGATGCTCCTTTCAGGTACCATTGATTCCGAGTCTGCCTACATACGCTTATCTGACAGAAACGACTGTTGTGGAAACACTTCTTCACACGATTGTGACAAGTGATGCGTCTCCAGCCGACACGGTCACTTGCCTACTGTCAGCATCTGATCCTTCCTCCAGTTACTTTACTGTTAAAGTGATATCAGGAAGCTGTAAGTTTGCACTTTTAGTATACGGTAAATATTATTACATGTTGCCTGGATGAATTTATCATTTATGTAGCTATTAAGTATCATTAGCTGAAGAATACGGATTTGTTAACAAAACCTGAAAAACGGTTCTTTATCAATAAACACAATAGGAAAATGTCAGCAAACAATCACTTGGTGGTCCTTGAGTACAAGTGGCGAGAATAAGACCTTGCGTTTCAGAAGGGAAAGCGCCTTTTAATTCAATACCACCTAGCAACCGTGCAAAATTTTGCCATTCTGGGACGAAGACATGACCAGGAAACGAATCGGTAATATGAATTGTCATTACAACACGAAACAACATTCGATTTTGACTAATTTACTTATGTATGTTATATACGTTTTCTTTCATTTGTTTTGTTTGATTTGTTGAACGTTGTCAATGGTAATTAGTATGGCTGGTGGTTCCTTACTTGGGAACATTACCTATAAATATTGACCAGTATTGACATGACTGGTGTTGCCGATCAAACAGAAGGCGCTTCCCTTTCAAGAACACTTAATTTCCTTTTTCTTGTACTGGTTTTCCGTTTACATCTTAATCTTTTTTTATTTTGCATTAAGATTTTGTTTTGTACAGAAATGAAATATTGAGGGCCAGAAAACAACAGACAGATATTAGAGAGAGAGAGAAAGAGAGAGAGAGAGAGAGAGACAGAGAGGTGAAAAGGATTATGCTGATTAAAAGGAGGCAGTACATTTATAACTTGTTTGATACAGTTAAGCACAGTTTTATGATATATTCACAGTTTCCTTTATTTTTGTATTTCTGATATCTATTATATGCGATAAATTTCGATAAAGATGAAAGTTATACTTCTTGTCTGTCTTGTCTGACGTCTGTGTTCTCTTTTTCAGCTTACGGTATATATTCCTTAGCGAGCTCATCGTTCAACTATGCGACCACAAAACGCTACAAATTGACAATCAATTGTACAGATACAAAGGACGATGTCAGCGGGACCTTTTACGTCTATATATTACCAAACAGTCCACCAACTTTTGCAAATCTACCAAGTAAGTAACTAGGTGCTGACACGACAGTAGTCAAACAAAAAAACACCGTCCATTACAATACAACGGATGTAAATTAGATAGACACTGGAAGTCCCCCTTGCTGTCTCGGCACAGATGTGGTCTAGACGTGATCTATAACACTTTAATCAACAATACTGTATTGTATTTATAAACCTCTTCACACCAACATATGAACATTGATCTCGCACTATTGTTAATATCTTAATTGTTATTCAGTTTTTTCTTCTTTTCCTATATTATTCTATATAGCCTGCATCATTTTGAATTGTCAGTTTTATTTCCATGGCTCAATATTTGTGTATTTTCTTTTTTCTGTTTTTTTTTAGTAGACTGATCATTTTCTATTTAGGTGTAACATTTGCATGTTCTCGATTCCAGATGTAATATCGATACCAACCTCAACCACTTCAGGTACAAGTGTATACCAGGTGACGGGAGCAGATGCAGAAGGCGATACCTTAACATACTCCATGACTTGTAGTTCATGTCCGTTTCAGATTACAACTGGTATGCATACATCTGTCCCTTTCGCAAGAGAAAATATTGTCACTTTTACCATCACTATCATAGTTCTTCACGGTGAAATATTTTCACTTGAGTGCTAAATATAGCAGTATAAAACAATTCACATTTATAAGAATGGACCAAAACATCAACAGGTGGTGAATACAATAACATTTAGTCCCGGTTATCAAAAGTAGAAGAAGCCACCCCAACCTTCAGAACAACAAAACAACCTCCTTTATCAGCATTATCGTACTTCTACAGTCACAATTTCATTAAAAACAATGGACGATATTTTGATTTTGATCAGAAAATGGTGGTCATTTTGTTGAAATGAGAAACTGAGGCAACCTTCCGATGTTCCATAATTACCCTTACATACTAATTGTGCTGGAAATTTGAAGTTTATATAAAACTCAATTAATAAAATTTTAAGCGCTTTAGTACTAGTGAATTATGTAGTCCACAAACAGAATTGTTTGAAATCGCAACGTACGATGATAGATGATTTTTTTTTATAAAAAAAAAATAAAAACAACATTCAGGCTCTCACTCTTCATTTTCTGCTCAATTACGTTCCACTTTATTTCCTTAAGGATTTACAAAAGACACAAGTGAATAACACATATTTATGCAATGCTAGGATTAGATACGGTAGAGTCAAACAATGAATTAAAATGCATAATACAAATGTTTCACATTTTTATTTCTCGTCAGTCATTTTAAGACCTAAATTTAGGAGCCCAGGAGGCGACTGCGGAAAAATTCTATATGAGGAGATACAGTAGCCCCATAACTAAATATATTTTTCTCATTTTCATACCATTGTTGGCCACTGATATCTAAGTGTGATGGTTTTGAGTATTAATGTGCAGCCTGCAAATAAATAATCTAATTAACAGTATATCTCTACGACAAAATTATTCTCCCACTTCTTTTTCTGTTTCATTACACAGTACCAATATCTCAGACCTCCTAGTCTTTTAAACTGGTGTATATCTGTCTGTACTACACTGTATCCCGATCTTCTGGAACACCTGGTCTTATTCGCCTTGTACTTTTTCAGGAGTCACCACATAAATCTTTCTTTTGTCCATATTTCGTCTTAGTTTTATTGAATAGTTTGCATTTGGATTATGTTTATGCTGACATGTTGTTTTTTGACAGGAGGAGAAGTTAGCAACAATCAGGTGATAGGTGAAAGTACAGTTGGATATGACGTAGACGTCCATGTGACAGACAGTACCACCAGTGTAGGACCTCGCGTTATTACTGTTAAAATATCGAGTAGGTTGAATAAAAAACAGAGCAATTTAACTTAATCGGGTGTTCTTATTCTCGCCTGTGATTATTATTATATGAATTTATTCCAATGACCCTTTTAGTACAGAAACAACTTTATATATTATAAGATAGTTATATAACAAATTGCATCAACTGCTAAAGTCCCTGTACCTTGCTCGCATATGCTGTGAGGTCGCTAATCCGATTGGAAACTGAAGCATCCGTGACAGCACAAACTCTAATGGTGGGGCGAATGACCGTATTGCTACCAACAATAATGAAATAACACATTGTACCATTTTGCCATCTTGTTTTTATTCTTTTAATGGCGACTTTGTTGGTTTTTGGATAAATCACTAGCAGATATCAGACAAGAAATTGAATATAAACAATAAATACTGACATAATTTCCCTCATTTTCGCAGATTTCGAGAGGGCATTATGGTTTTGATTACATTTAGACGATTTTATTTGCAGACATAAACTCGCCTCCCGTTATTCAAAACCTACCTTATCCTTCGAACATATCTATCTTGGAGAACCAGTCTGCTGGGACCACAGTGTTACAGATAGTGGCGATCGATGTTGATGCAGGACAGGTTCTCGTCTATTCTCTGACAGTCACACCAAGCTCTGGACAAACAATGTTCACAGTAGACTCGAGTTAGTCAAAACTTTATAATATGCAATAACATCCTATTGAGATTTTTTAACTGTTGACTTGGTTCCCGCTTTGAGAACGGATCATTACTTGGATTGGCATAGATAAACATAGCGAGTTCAAACCCGTGTACTCAACACCCATTCCCCGTTGAAATTTGTTCTGTTTTCTTTTCGTTTATTAAACAAGTGTTTTGTGAGAAGTAATTCATTTGTTCATATTATGACCAGGTTTTGACCTCATTTCGGTATGCTGGTGTTTTTGTTATAGATTTAGTTTCTGTGGAAAGTTTTTCCTGTATAATAAGCTGTGACGATTCTGGTGATGACAAGTACATAAGTGAAATAATGATCGCAAGATTAGGCCACTGTCACTCCTATTTTTTCATAAGCCAGTCAGCATCATAACGGTTATCAATATGTCAATATTCACGCTTCTGATATTATTTTTCGTTGTCGTGAATTGTTTTTGTGTGTAAGATGTGTATTTCTTATTTTCAATTAAATTGAAAACAGATAGATATTATGATATATTTTTTCGTCTGTTTCGGCCATTTTGTTATTTAGATGGCTTGATCACCACGTCAGTGTCGATCAATTTCGAAGCGTTGACAGACACCTTATTCAACATCTCAGTGGAGGTATCTGACGGACAGGCAAGCGACGTTCAATCTCTTGATGTCGTCATACAAAATGTAAATGAAGCTCCCGGATTCTCAAGCGCTATATATTACCTCTCTGCGAACGAGGAACAACTTGTAAGTTTTCCAGTTTGCCTTTAATTGATAATACAAAGGTATGATGCAGTTTTTATCATATGGCTACAATGCATCTAATTCTAAAATATTAAAATGTACTATTCAGTTATCTGTCCATTCATTATTAATACCGGAAGTAAACATTGAGATTAACTGCACTAGTAATGCGCTCGTTGAATCTTATAGTTGGAATTCGATTTGGAAACCATACTCAAATCACTTCGCTCTAAGTTAACAGAAATACGTTAGGTCAGGTTGATGAAGACTTCGCTCGTTGCAACGGTTCAGGGGGTGGGGGATGTGTTCTCTCTTGCTTGTTAATAATCCTGATTCCTTCGTTGGCACCTAACTATATTGTGCTCATTTGCGATCATGACAGACAACACTACATTATTGTAAAGTAAATAATGTTTATTATTATAAGCAGAAGACACTTGCTCTTTTGGAACACCTAGCCGTATTGTCTTGTACAGTTTGAGGAGTCTCTATGGAAATCGTTCTTTTGTCCATAATTTGCTCTAATGATATCGAATCTATGTTTGCATTATGTTATATTTTCTTGTGTTTTATTCGTGTTATCTTTCCTTTTTACATAATGTTACTTCATAATATAGAATTAAGTTGAAATGATGATTTTGTTAACGTGGACATCTTTAAGAAATAATTATCTATATCTTATTCATAACTTTATTCATAGCGAGGTACCAGTTTGGGAACGCCTTCATTTGCTGTCACTGATCCGGAATCCGACACGGTATCCTACAGTATCGACTGCTATCAGTTAATGATTAATTCCTCAACAGGGGAGATAACTTTTTATGCCACGTATGACCTTGACTTGCAAGGTTCATCGTCGCCGATCAGTTGTGTAGTGACTGCTGATGACGGTGAATTAACCGGAACTGCTTCACTGACGGTTACAATTAACGATATTAATGATAACAACCCAACATTTGATTACGAAACATACACATTTACGTCCAGCGTATCCGCAAAAACTGGTGACGTCATAGGAACCGTGACTGCTAATGATGCAGATTATTCAGCACTCTATGGTATGTACTAGGCTTTGCTATTCTGGTGACTTGTATTGGTTGGTGTGTAAAGATATCATCAGTAAGCTTTTGATATATTTATATTTGGATTTGTTTCAACTCTTTATAGTCTACAATGAAAAAGTCTACAAAAGTTATCTTTGGTAGTTGTAATGCCTGATACGGATATTAACACATTTGTATGTAAACGTGGATTGAATCTGAAGCATGTTGGCATCACTTTCAGATAATTGCTGGTATCCTTCCTCAGCGACAAACAGACGAAACATTCCATACAATGTATAATATTTAAATATGAGGAACACATCTAAATACGTCAATATCTTCTTTTCTTTTATTGTTTTGTTTAAACACTTGTTCACTTTAAAGTGATCGTGTGCTTTATCATCTGTCAATGTGTTTACCATTGTCTGGTTCCACTTGTACTTTGCTGAAAAAAATTACAAAACTGACAAATTCTATGCAAGATATTGACACCTTAGCTATTTACCGAAAACATACGAACGTTTGCTGAAAGCCGTCGTGCCATCGTCTCCGATTCGCCTCAGATTTGTCGTTAATCACTACTGCTACTTTGCCTGTCGATATTTTCCTGTGTAAATGCGATGGTTTAGCTACCTTTGAAAATATATATTCACCTCAGTCTTGCTGAAAGAATAATCAGTTCTGGTATAAAAAAAAATCTGTTAGTAAATGATCGCATCAATTTGATATCTTTATTTGATGCGATTTTCTTCCTTTTATCAAATCAATAGAGAAACATCCGCTAAATCCCCTGTTTAAAATAATATCTTGAAAGGAAACAAATGTGTGCTTTCAAATGTATGGAAGGAGACTTAGATGTGACAACTAAAGAAATATCCCGATATTAGACGGAATTTGGAAATTTATTGATAAAAAGCGTTCTTTTTTTATTATTGTTTTGCAGGAACAGTCTCTTACACAATCAATCAGTCATTACTTAGTACTAACTTTTTTGGAATATCCGGAACTGGGTCGTTATTTGCTGCACGTGACCTCGCAACACTTGGGAATGGAACAGTTAATTATATAACGGTTACCGCTTCAGACACAGATGGTAACTCTGGTGGGTTATTTTGTTAAAGTTTTGACTTTATTCAAATTGTGTTCAAAATTTAGATTGACACAAAAGAGACATCATTGTCAACTATATACACTAATCCACGAGGTCGTTGTTCTAACAGTTGTAGTATTTATTCCAGAGCAAAAGTTTATCAAAGATAAAAAACATTAAGTCGACAATTGGTATCATAGATTGATTATTTTTACGAGATCGAATAATTCTGGAATGTATGTCATTTGCTCATCCTTCAGGTAATCAGTAATATATAAAACCATGATCTATGTGTATCTCTTTGTCGTCAAAAATAAATTCTGTATGAAAACTGATGTTTTACAGTACATTATCAGGATTCCTTATAATCGTTTTAATGTGTTTCACTTCATTTGTATATTCGATAGAAATATCAGATTTACAGGACATGGAACCATGTCGTTTTCAGACACTTCCTTGATAACAATTATCATTCCTGACTACGCCACGTCAGCCAATGACGTCACAGACTCCGGGAACAGGTACATTTCCTTCATTGAAGACACAAAGAATGTTGCGTGGCTGACCTCATTTTGTATGGCGAGTGTTGGTTCGATATGTCTAATAGGATATCTTATCAAAAAGCACAGTCTCCTTACTTTCTGGAAGGATGGTCTCAAGGAAACCTTTCAGAGAACCAGGTAAGATTTTCGTTGATGTCTGCGGTACTCTTAATCCATGGGTTCACTTGTCCATGAGCTGTTAAAATCAGTATAAATACAATTATAGTGGTGTATCTGTCTGTGACATGAAATGTCCACAAAGCAACATTTTTCTTCTTTTTTTTCTCTCTCCCTTTTTCGAAAAACTGCAAAAAATAAGTCCAACGAAAATACAGTATGTCGTAAACAGCGAATATTGCTAAATGTATGTCAGACTAAAAGCATTTAAACTTGGACATCAAATCGAAACAATTATCTTATATTTAAGTTCATTAACACTCAATCGAAAAACAATTCATTACCACTTAATGATTTGATTGTCAAGTGCCATTTTTATTTTCAGCAACAAAACGACCAAAGTGGAAGGCGTCTCAGATACACGTAAGTAGTGTGTACACTTTTACGTATTTTTATTTTGTAAATCTGATATATTTCTGTGTGTATGTGTGTTGCAAACTCAGAATGTTTTATTGAATTATGAGATTTTTACATCTAAACATTTCTTTTGAATAGTTTTGGTTTTCCACAGTCGCCACCTGGTTTCCCATTAAGTAGTACTTTACATTGCTAAAGAGTACTAGAATGATAAAATAGTGCTATGATAAAGTTCAGTTCATTATTCTGCTTCACTTTGTCTAATTCTAGATTGTATTGGACTAATAGTCACTTATTTGTTTTTCTACAACCTTTTGACGTCATTGACTATATATGTTATCAAACATTAACAAAGGACGCATTAGAAAATAATATATAATACAACACAGAAACTGTATCATACAGCTGTTACGTCCTTCTAGGACTCGTCAGTGATGCTGCATCATACATCTGTTTCGTCCCTCTGGGACTCGTCAGTGAAGCTACATCATACAGTTGTTTCGTCCTTCTAGGACTCGTCAGTGATGCTGCATCATACATTTGTTTCGTCCCTCTGGGACTCGTCAGTGATGCTACATCATACAGTTGTTTCGTCCTTCTAGGACTCGTCAGTGATGCTGCATCATACAGTTGTTTCGTCCTTCTAGGACTCGTCAGTGATGCTGCATCATACATTTGTTTCGTCCCTCTGGGACTCGTCAGTGATGCTATATCAAACAGCTGTTTCGTCCTTGTAGGACTCGTCAGTGATACTGTGGGCCTACGTCATAATAAAGTCGAAACCTTTAATAAAATCACAAGTCTTAGATCGTAGAAGTTATTGTATTCAAACGTTTTAATGACAAAACAATCATCTCAACAATTGTATTTATTTCACGTGTTTGTCGGTAGGTCAGCACCACCAACGAAGACAATCGTCAAATTCCAGCGGAAGCGGAAGTTCTACGAGAACTCGGTTACAGAAAGGACATTCCAGAATGAGCAGACAGAAGAGAAAAGATATTCGAAATTACATAAACACACAGACAACTCATTTTTGATTTTGTATTTGATTGACACTTTTCGCATTTTGGTGTTTTAGTCATATAAGATACAGAGTTGACCTATCAAAAACACGGACAAGTGAAATATTGAAAATACGATTACGATAAAGAGACATTTTTCCATATAGTGGCTTGTAATGACGTCATATCACTTGAATTGTCCATCCATATCAACAGTTCTATTTTCTTGTAACTTGTCAATTTTGTAAGTAAGAATCTTCGTCCTTTCTGTGTTTGTTGTTTATACTTTATTACTGCTTTGCTTGTGTGATCTTGTACGTTATGTATTTGTGAAACAAAAAGACCCGCTGTATCATGCACCAACAAACTGGTGGAGATACTGTAAAATATGACAGTTTGATGTACCGAAGCTTTAATGATAACTGTTTCAATCCAGGCGAAACATGATTTGATATCGTGCAACTGCTACCTAATTTGTATTCAACTTCCATTGTTTACGTGTTGTTTGCATTTCCATGTGTTTATATTTTCTTTAATAAATCATCAGCTTGTACATTTATCGTTTTTTATATACATACACCATACAAGTAAACATATCTACTACCGTTTAACACTCAGAATTAAACAAGAGGTCGCTATGTCGGGTGAAAATTTACATACCGTATTTATTCCAATAAACGCCCCGTCTCTAATAAACGCCCCCACCTGTTTTCTCAGTAAATTTCAACAACTCAGGAGTCAGGTTACAAAGCTTACCTTTTAATAAATTTTAAATTCCTGGTATCCATGAACATGAACAAATGAATTTTGGCACAAGAAAATTACACTGTCACGACATGTACACAAGTAATATCAAGTTAATCCACGGTCCATTTCAATATACTGCAGTCCTAACGGCCGGGACTGCCGTACGAACTGCTGTCTTCACTTTTACTTTCACTTTCGCCAGTCTCGCTTTCACTCAGTTCTATTTGTGGAATAGAAGGCGCGTTCACATCACCCATTAAATTTTACAAAAAAAAAAAAAAAAACGTCATCTGCAGCTTGGACATCCTTTTCACTAAACCCCTGGAATTCCTCATCGTCAGGATCATGCTGGAAAATATGATCCTCGCTACCGTCCAGCTAATTTTTGATACCGCATTTTTAACGATCTTCTGATTGTGTCCAGGCTAATGCTATCCCATGCTGTCTTGACCCAAGACAACATTACAGCTTTAGATGGGGCTTTACGATTCACTGCTTTGGTTTTCTCAATGGGGCCACTGAAACACCATTCGTAATACAACTCTCCAAGTTTTTGTTTGAAGGGTTTATTCCACGACACATCGGCTGACTGTAGCTTACATGTACATCCTCCGGGTATAACACAGATGTCTGAATTATATTTTTGACGAACCAGCGTTTTTTTTACATCTTGGCATATGATGCCGGAAAGCGTCACCATACTAATTTTTTGTATTATTCACACCCCAGAGTTTTTTTAACCAAAATTTTACACTTCCCTCGTTCGCCCAGGATTTTTGTCTGGCCCCGGGGGAGGGGGGGCCAATGTCGATTTTCCTGGCATGTCAAACCACACCGGGATTTCGTCCATGTTAGCAATATGGCTATCGGGGTATTCTCGTAGCCGATGCATTCTTAACACGAAATTAAAAAAACTTTCAATACGATCATCAATTAATGAAACTTCATGTTGTGCCACATGCGTAGATCGCCTGCACGAAATGTTATGTCTCTTTTTGAATTTAGAAAACCACCTATATGAGGCTTTGAACGATTGACTACCATTTGCCTTATGCATACGCAGGGCCTCAAACCGCAATGCTCTCCCAGTCACTCGTATTCCGGCCTCCCGTCTGTCCTGTAGCCATCTCATCAGATTTTTGTCAATATCTTCATATCTGACATGCCTTCCACCTCCTTTACAGCGTTTAGATGTTTTAGAATGATTTTTTTAATTTTTCTTTGCTTTGACACCAGTCCCGCACTCGTTTTCTGTCAACACGAAACACTTTCGCGGCGGCATGTTTACCCTTGTACTCTGCGAAGGCGATTACTTTAAGCTTGAAAGCAGTGTCGTAATTTCGTTTTGTCCCATACATTGTTATCAGGTAGGTGGGATTTATTAAGAAACAGACTGGGTTATATACCGCTGTGTTTTTTTTATTTTGTTATGCAAACTAGGTCTACAAGCGATGATGAACATTGTACGTTTTTGACTGAAGCTGACACGATTGACATCGAGTCATTTCATACAAAAATTCAGGTTATCAGAATGCAATTGACAACAATGTTTAAAGCTACAACGATGTTGGAATTACTGCAATTTTCAAATGCAATCTTTGCTGAGTAATTCGTTAGTTTGTTAAACAATGTTTTTAAGTGGCAGCCATGGCATGTCGCGACCAACAAATTATGAAATTTTGTGTTCTGTTAATCGCCCCCTGTCTAATAAAAAATTTCACGCCCCCGGGGCGTTTATTGGAATAAATACATTACGTTATGTGAGTATATACACGTAATATTTTCAAGACTCAGAATTAAACTAGGGGTCAGTATGTCGGGTGTAAATATACATACGTTATGTAAGTATATACACGTAATGATGTTAAGACTCAGAATTAAACTAGGGGTCACTGAGTATGCATAAAAACAATAAAAACAATATCCATAAATACTCTCTTTTAATTGGATTGTCATAATAAAACTTTAAAATGATTTCAGGAATATAAACATGCAAAAACCATTTGAATTTATTTACCATACTAGCAATGACGTATTTACACACTGAATGTTGCCAATTGAGAACTTGTTGGAGACGCACCAACAAATGATGACATAAACACTCAAGACGATATATTCATAAATAACCTAGGGGGAAATGTAAACTAAAGTACAGCTGTTTCGTCCTTTACGGAAACCTAGCAGGGGGTGGGGGACCTAGGAGGGAATGTAAACTTAAGTACAGCTGTCTCGTCCATTACGGAAACCTAGAAGGGGGTAGGGGACCAAGGGGGAAATGTAAACTAAAGTACAACTGTTTCGTTCTTTACGGAAACCTAGAAGGGGGTGGGGGCTGATCAATATATGTAGATAGGAAGCTGATCAATATATGTAGATAGGAAGCTGATCAATATATGTAGATAGGAAACTGATCAATATATGTAGATAGTAAACAGATCAATATATGTAGATAGTAAACAGATCAATATATGTAGATAGGAATCTGATCAATATATGTAGATAGGAAGCTGATCAGTATATGTAGATAGTAAACAGATCAATATATGTAGATAGTAAACAGATCAATATATGTAGATAGGAATCTGATCAATATATGTAGATAGGAAGCTGATCAATATATGTAGATAGTAAACAGATCAATATATGTAGATAGTAAACAGATCAATATATGTAGATAGGTAGCTGATCAATATATGTAGATAGTACAGATCAATATATGTAGATAGTAAACAGATCAATA